CATGCTTTTTACATGTGTTTAAATATTACTTTTTATTTTTGCCCTTAGGCTCAAAAAAATTCAAATTTGAAGTTATTTTCTAGCTTTTAAAGAGCTTCTTTTAGTTTACTTTTAATGGCATTAGATGGGTTGCTGGAAACAGTTATTATTAGTCTCCATTTCTCAACAATGAGTAAGATGAACATGAAACAAAATTGAGAAACTTCATAACTATTTCATTCATATAAAGATGATATTTTTAATATAATGAGGATTATTTTTAAAGCTTGAGTTGGACTTTAGACCAAATTTAGATAAATTTCAGTAATAGTTAATTGATGTATAGTAATAACGATAATTAAATAGTAATAACACAGAATTGTAATGATAAATTTTTTTTACGTTTGAATAATGGTATATTAATATACGTTAATGACATATTTTTGTTTGTATGATAGAATGGTATGGTTGTATTTTTTAGCTAAATTACTAATTTACCCCTACATATTATATGTAATAGTAAATAGTATAAAAGAAGTATGTAAGGAAAAAAGATTTTTATCAATATAATTATATTTATATTTAAATAAATAATTATTATATATAATTAAATTAAAATTTTATATTTAATAAAATAAATAATTATTATTTATATTATTATATTAATTTAATAAATTTTTAATTGTCAAAATATATATGGAATTAATTAAATTAGATGGGAGTATAAAGGAAATAAATAGAATGCCTATTAAATATAACTAATTTAGTGGTTTAAAAATTTATTCCAAAATTTGACAGTCATATACCATTTGTTATTATTGGAAGTTGAAACAAATATAATTCTCATACTAGTAAAATACTATACATTAAAATTCTATTATTTACTATGATCCAATGAAAGGGTTAGTATCCTACTAGATTACACACACCCTTATCATTTTTAAAATTTTGAATATATATTTTAAACATAATTTTAAATATTTTATTACAATCTATTTTTTCAGATTGGGTTGGACCATTAGTTGAATTGAGCCGAACATGCTCAAATAAATCTAAACAGCCCAAGTGGCCGACCCCAATAAAGCGTCGTCGTTTTAAAAGTTTAAAATTGCAATTCTGACCCTCGAATATCCAGTTTAGATCTCCCACCTACCGGGTCCACGTCATCTATAAATAAAACCCTCACAGATTCGGTCCGTCCTTCACTTGTCAAAATACAGAAACGAGGCAAAAAGAAAGGAAAGAAAAAGAAATCACACTTTCCTAAAAACGAAAACCAAGAAATCTCTCTCTGCTTCTCCTCCCCGACAACTATGGCGGCAACTTCACACTCTCTCCTCCTCCAAAACTCGACCGGTCAACACCTCCACAAAACCAGACCGGCCTCGTTAAACCAACTCACTAGACCTAACACGGTGAGTCTCTCCGGCTACAACAACAAACCCATGCCGATCAGATGCGCTGCAACCACCCAAATCCAAGATCCACCGCAAAGGAATGCGCAATCCGTAGATCGGGTCTTCAACTTCGCCGCCGGGCCCGCCACCTTGCCCGAGAACGTTCTCCTTAAGGCCCAGTCCGAGCTGTACAACTGGCGTGGATCCGGGATGAGCGTAATGGAAATGAGCCATCGAGGTAAGGAATTTTTATCTATTATCCAGAAAGCCGAATCGGATCTCCGTGCGCTTTTGGAAATTCCGGTGGAATACTCTGTTTTATTTCTCCAGGGCGGCGCCACCACGCAGTTCGCGGGTATTCCGCTGAATCTCTGCAGACCCGATGAGCCGGTTGATTATCTGGTTACCGGGTCATGGGGCGATAAGGCCTTTAAGGAGGCACAGAAGTTTTGTAAACCTAAGGTGATCTGGTCGGGTAAATCGGAAAAGTATACCAAAATTCCATACTTCGATGGATTGGAGCAGAGCCCAGATGCGAAATACCTGCACATTTGCGCTAATGAAACCATTCACGGCGTGGAATTCAAGGATTACCCAAAACCCAGGAATGCTAATGGAATTTTGGTGGCTGATATGTCCTCTAATTTCTGTTCAAAGCCCGTGGACGTGACTAAATTCGGAGTGATATACGCCGGGGCACAGAAGAACGTTGGTCCATCTGGGGTCACCATCGTCATTATTAGGAAGGATCTGATTGGAAATGCTCAGGAAATCACACCCGTGATGCTCGATTACAAGATCCACGACGACAACAACTCGCTGTACAACACGCCTCCCTGTTACGGCATTTACATGTGTGGTTTGGTGTTCGATGATCTGTTGGCGCAGGGCGGATTGAAGGAGGTGGAGAAGAAGAACAAGAAGAAAGCGGAATTACTGTTCGACGCCATTGATGAGAGCAAGGGATTCTACAGGTGCCCAGTTGAGAAATCCGTGAGGTCATTGATGAATGTACCGTTTACTCTGGAGAAGTCAGATTTAGAAGCAGAGTTCGTGAAAGAAGCTACGAAGGAGAAGATGGTGCAGCTGAAGGGTCATAGGTCTGTTGGAGGAATGCGAGCTTCTATATACAATGCTATGCCATTGGCTGGCGTTGAGAAGCTGGTTGCTTTCATGAAGGATTTCCAGGCAAGGCATGGTTAGATTCATTGAGGCGATTGAGAAAGGAAGGAAAACCTATGTAACATTTTGTTGGGTATTTGGAGTTGGGTCATGGATGATCTTCTTTTTGTTTATGTTCTGTGATTTTTACTTACCATATAAATTTGATTGAACTTGTTCTGGTATTGAAGTAATGATTTAAGTGGCCGCCATTATTGCTGCTGTAGTTTGATTTAGGCTTTAAATATACTGTTAAAATAGTGCATGCTACGACTTTTAAAAATATTATTATAATAATTATGAATTAAAAATACTTTTAGTTAATAATTTTTTGGCGTTTGACAAAAATATTTATAAAAGTACTCTTACTTTGAAAAAAAAAAATTGAAGATATATATTTGGTAAAAATGATTGCTGATTTTGGAATTGATAAGAATAATATAAGAAGGGAATAAGTAAAAAAAATAATCTATTTAATTAAAATAATTGTAAAAATTGAAATAATTTAAAAATTAATAAAAACAATTAAATTTAAATTATTATTTATAAATTAATTTAAATTATTAATTATAGATATTATTATTATTATTATATATAAATTATATTTTATAACGACTCTGAAAATCTAAAAGAAAATATATAATAACTTAAATGCGAAAGCGAAATAAAAGTTTAATATTTACATTTCTTACACAATAATTAAAAAGTACTGAACACCATTATAAAATCAATTCTTTGAAAGAAATACGAGAAATAAGGAAACAAATAGAAAATAAAAAATATATAGCATCTACTTGCAATCTTTTTGCAGATTGGGCTCTAGAACCTGGTTCTCATGGTTAAATAA